CGAGGTTCGTCGGAATATTATAAATGAAAATTTGAGTTTTGATAATATGCAAACACAAAATTGTTACATTGCTCTTGAACTGTCAAGCTTAACTGATCTGTAAATGAGGTTTTTTTATTTTATTGAAACAATGTCTGTCCGCTAAAAAAAAAATCATATTAAAACAGTTTAAATACAAAATATTTTAGGTTTGAGTGACTGGCTCAAAACGCGATATATATTTTGGCAAGATTGATCATCATTCATACATTGAAATACAATGTACTTGAAAATACACATTTTAATCATCCGTCATTGACTTTTCAATGAGTCAAACACCCTTAATGAAAATCTACAAAAAAGAGAGTAAATGATAACCACCATAGCAAACTATGTTTAGCAAATAGATAGAAGTGTACAGTCATATATTGTTTTGACAAAAAATAACTAAAATACAATAATATTGAAATGTTTATCATTATCGTGTGATATAAATGGAAATATTACATTATATCAAGTGTTCTAGGAATTGAACAAGATCTTCTCTTCCTGTACAGTTTACATATCATAATTTATTTAACTTTTTACCGATATAATGTATTAATTTTACTGTAAATATACTTTGTATTTAAGTCATTTGCAATTGCCTACCTGTACTATATATGTGCTCTTGTATACAGTTTTTTAGTATATTTTGTTGCTCATCTATTACCCTTTTGCTCATGCATTATTATCTTTTAAAAATGTTCTTTTCTTATTTGTACATGTAGACGAAGAAGGCCACGGATCGGATTAACTGGTTTATTAACTCTGTAACCCTTTGGAAATAAAAAATGTATTATTAGTAAAGCACATGCAATTTCAGAAAACTTTGTGTTATCAAAATTGCAACTATAGCATATAAATCTTCCAAGACAATTCATGGGTTGTCCCAATTAAAGTTTAATTGCAAACTTCACCTCAATTTCACATAACCGCTTAGGACTATCAATGGTCATGCTATTCATTACAATTATTGTAAATTCCGTCCGTTTAAAATATCTGCGATACACGCTTCCTTTTGAATCAGTTTTCCAAATATGAAATTAAAACACGCCTCCTTAGCAAGATCGACAAGAAGGATTTTCGCGAAGTTCCAGTTACGGCTTGCAAAGTAATGTGATAATTATTTTATGAATGAAAACATTATAATCATGTATCTAATTTTATATCATAAAATAGTTTATCAATAAAAAGGGACAAAATACTCGGGCGATTGACAACCAACGAAAGGAAGCGGACAGCGTCGTCACTATGGAGACGCCCCATTGCTTTATAATATTCATCAGCATGTCAAGCGTTATTTCCCCCTGAAAAAAATGCCTAAACATAGACGCGTAAGGTTCCAAATCTTTCGGTCTAAATTAAGATTAGCTTAACATGGCAAATTCTAAGTATTTCCCCTGTAGTCAATAAGCTCGTAACGTTTATTTTTGTTTTTTGGAGATGTTAATGATCACTCAAGTAATGGATTATCTGTCGGTTATAACGAGTATTAAATATCCAAAAGATACTCGACTTATTGGTTTTCTTTTAGAACGTTGTTGCCTTCTTCAAATCAAATAGATTTTCATTGAGATCGCCTCTCGTAAATTTAAAAAAGGTATCTTTAATTGATTAAATTCTAAACATGTTTCGAATTTTTGCGATCAATTTTCATTCAAAATTCCTTAGAACAGAGGTGGGCTACGAACGATATCAACTTTCTTACGCTTATACTTTTGGCTAATCGCGTCTCAGCCATTCTGCCGCATCTGTACCGCTAGAGGAAATTTTTACGTCTGCAGGATAATTAGGTACGTAGAAAAGTTGAGAAACAGACCATGTTCAGAAAGAGTTGACAAGGATAATTCCAAATAATAATATATTCATTGCACCCTGTGCTAACCCTTATGATATTAATTGCAAGTAATGATGAACTTAAAAACTGATCTATATATATTTTTTTGGTTATTAAATTTCATTTTGTTTTCTATAATTGTTACTGTTGTGAAGACAGACATGCAATCTTAAATACTGTAGCCATCCGTAAGTTGTTGCATGTACGTACGGGTAACAAATTATATTTATATTTAGTTGTAAACACTTACCCGTACGTACAAAAATCTGTTACTTCCTTAATAGAATACATTTAAAACTAATTGATTTACAAGGAAGTTGACAGTACAATATTCCTGTTACACAGAAGGTATTTCTGAAACAAAAATGAAATTTAATAAATAAATAAATATATAAAGATCCGTTTTAAAGTGCATCGTTACTTGCAATCAATATTATAATGACTCTTTATTGAAAAACTAGAGGAAACAACAACAACAACAACGAAAAACAACGATTTACTGGTAAAGGGTAACATACATGATATAAAATGGTTCACTAAAAAATGTCGAAACCCAACCGTTTTGAATTTCGTCAAATACAACTGGTATTTTTTTTCTTTTCACTGTCAAGTTTTGAAGTCAACAATTGAATTTGTATGGTAAAATTTACAATATAGTATAACATGTATGCACTGTGGTTTCTACGATGGATACATTGTTTTAGAATCCAGGTTCCGTTCAGACATTCAAATAATGATTTAGAAAGTTTGGATATTTCTTTAAACATGTTAAATGATATGTCTCGAAATTAACAAATTAATTTCTAGTGATTAAGTAACTTTTTTTCTAATATCGTTCGGGCCTCGGTGGCCGACTGTTCTTAGTAGTTCATAGACAGAAATCACTGTATCCTATCAATACTGAAATTGTGAGTTAGAACCCTCGTACGTAGCAGGTGTGTTCAACTCAGAGATAACATAAGTAGGATTGCCAATTTGCACAATGAAATATATTGAGATCGTACTCAGTTGATGTTTATTGAACTTATATTTGCCTTTAGAATTATTATGTCTTACTTTTCTGGTATTTGCTTCAAATTGGAACTATGTACCTCGTAAACCTTTTATATTTGAAAATGAATTAAAGAAATAAGACAGCACCAAACGGACAATCAAAACGACAAGAATATTGACAAAAAAGATAACAAAACAGCATGAACAGTGCAACTCACTAAAAATTTCATAGAGTAGTTAAGATTTCGCAAAAAACAAAAACAAAAACCACAGCGAACTAATGTGCTTTGAACTTAAGAAAAAATGTTTAGTAGGTAGTTCCTGTACCACTAACATCACTCGTCATGTAGTTTATATACGATAATGTTACAAATGAGGACATTACAGTAAGTTTGATGCAACGTACTCGGGGCCATTTTAAAACATATATTCATTTACGTTCTACAAAATCATGATTGAGTACGCAAAACTTTCAATGATAGCACTTCGGAAACCTACTTGTTGAATAGTGTCATTATATCTGTCCTTCGGAGATTAACATTTACGTATCTTTTTTTTTTTTAATTAGAAACTATTTCAAGCGATCGACTACTCAATATCTTCTGATGGTAAATGTGAATATGTTGATGCAATTTTTATGATTTTTAAAGTCATATGAAGCGAGTTTCTTGTTATTTCAATGTTCAGAAAATAATTGAACCAATGCATGCATATATACTAAATTAAGTCCTCTATGCACGTAATTTACATTTATTTCGAATCTATAACGTTTTATCGACAAATAATATTTCATTCAGTGATTGTTAATCGCAAGCTAATTATTTTTCGAGTTTGTTGCCGAAGTTTACCGGACCGTGTCGTTGATAAGACTTCAACAGAAAGTTGTGAAACACGTGCGAAAAATATGAATTGAAAGAGTGATTTAAACATTTTTTTCTCTTTTTATATACATTTTGTATTTTCAATGAGTTCCCATTTGTTAAAAAAAACTTTTTAAAACATTGTTGTTGAATGATTGGTTGTATTTAATTTGGTCTTTTAGAATGAATTATTACTATTTACTTTTCAGTGCACGTTTGTTGACATTCTTTCATCACGGATTTTCCCTCGCACTTGCGCTGTGCGATGGCCGAAGTGTTTAATTTCGTAGTTAAGGTCTATGCATACGGAAACGTATCGGTGAATTAGTGTATGGGAAGATCATTATTCAAAAGGGGTACATTACTGAATATTTTGATAAGAAACTGGATTTTCTTTAACAAAAAAGTTCACGTACACTTGTTTTATAGTAAAACTTCGCAATTCAAGTAAATTAAATAATTGCAACTTTTGTTTTTAAATATAAAGTATCATATGACTTTAACCTTCAATATAAAAATAAGAAGATGTGGCACGATTGCCAATGAGACAACTCTCCACAAGAGACCATGACACATAAATTAACAACTTTAGGTCACCGTACGGCCTTCAACAATGAGCACATCCCATACCGCATAGTCAGCTATAAAAAGACCCTAAATGACAAATGTAAAACCATTCAAACGAAAAACTAACGGCCTAATTTATGTACAGAATAATTAACGAAAAACATATATGTCCATGATGTTTGAATGTCGCAATACATTGACGTTTTTTTTTTAGACTGAAATAACAGTAAAAAGTAAAATTTATATCAATACAATTGGAATTAATGCATAAAGCGAAACCATCAGGCCTAGTGAACAAAAAGAATATAATATATTTTCATTATTTGTTTTTTTAAGTTTACCTACAGTGTATCGTTTTCAGGAAACAGTATGGAACATCTGATTCAACCAATTGTTCAAGCTTTTGTATATCGAAACTAGTTAATTAAGTCAGCAGCTTATCATTTTTGTCTTGCCATTTTTGTATGTCGTTATTGTTTTCTGTTTATTCGAATTACCCACTCAAACAAAAAGAATTCACCTTAAGTTTTCTCAAAACATTTTCTCATAGTTCCTATGGTATGAGTGAGAAGAAAAAAAACAACACTACACTCGAAGACGTATTTCCTTCCCTAAAAACATCTTTAAAAAATTGTTAAATGGAGAACTTAAATTGTACGGTGACTTCTATTCTTAAAATTTTATCACAAATGTTCGTTCTTTAAGACAACATTTTATTTCAGGACATGATATTTATGATCCTGGTTTACGTTATTTTCTCTAAACATCTTATTGAAGCACTTAACAACGGTGAGTTTTATAATGTATCTCGTATAAGTTGTGTATACTTGTGCAATGTTATTTGAATGTCATATTATATAAATTGGCACAAGGACTAATATATTTATTGACTGTTAGTATGTCTCCGTTGTATCATACAAAACTTGCTTTGTTCTTACCTGTACATATCGAATTTAATAATAAAAAAAGATAGTAAGATAACAAGTGGGCAACTAAACAAATATGTCGAAGGACATAGATTATAACATAGTGGGAAAAAAGGCCACATTTTTTAAAACTATACTGATAATACTTAACGTTGAGCAAGACGAACTACCATTAGAAACCGCGAATAACCGCAGGTGCTTTCGAAGCTTGAGAATTTTTTTGCCCCAGTATTGGAGTCTGTGGTGGTGTTAATTGCAAGTTTGAATCCAGTGATATATATTACAGTCGATCAAATCATTATGGCGTCACAAATTCTTTTAAAGAGAAGATTTAAACATTGATGTTAAGACCCCCTGGTTCAATAGCAACCTTGAATGAAGTAACACACAGTCAAGGGAATCTTTGAAAAGCCTCAATGTGAATTTCTCTTCTTATAATTGTACAACCATGTCTATAAGAAAAGAAACACACTAGTTTTTTGTGTGCATTTTGCACAAAAATGGATTACTTTAATTGAAAGTAAAATGTATGGCATTAAGAAAACCCATCATGTGTCTATGAGTTTTAGAGAATATTCTGTTCAAATCGACAAATACTAATTTGCGTTTCTCATATTTGATGCAACATCGCAAAATGAAAAAGATACGTTTACATACTTGCATGATGTTCAAAAGTTTTTTTTCATAAGAGAACAAACTATAATAAAAATACAGACACGTTTCCAAAATTTTAGAAATAATGTGTGAATTCATGATGCATACTAACAGGAATGTGCATTAAATAGATACGAAAGCAGATTAAAAATGAAAACAATTAGCAAAAAAAAATAGAAATCGTTTGCTTATCAATCATGTTATCCCTCTTTATTAACATTCAAAACAAAAACATTTAAAAAAACACCGACATACTCTTCTCTATAGATTTTTATTGTCTGGCTAATCTAAGTAACATGCAAGTTAATTTGTTTAAAAGTTCAATACGACACTTAACATGTAATCCAAGCAGTGTAAAACATAATTCAGATTTAAAAGTAGTAAAACATTAACGATACAAAAATAAAATTACCTATATCAAGCATTAAGTCACACTGAGGACAGTCAAGTTGAAAACAAATGACAGAAAGAGTAATACATTGATATTTATTTTTTAGGTGATCTAAGATTGACCAATTCAATGAGGCTTGAAGTTTACTACAATTATGAATGGGGCACAGTCTGTGATGATGCATTTGATGACAACGCCGCAAAAGTAGCATGTAAACAACTTGGATTCAGGTATTTTAACCAAAAAATATCTCTAAATAAATAGTAGGTATTAAAACAATAAGCAAGTCAAAAACAGATAAACTGTTGAACCCGTGTAAAATATCAGTTATTTGAAGAAAAAAAAAACAGTGACTGTCTGAAGATGTGTGACGTAGGTACATGGAGTTCCTGATCGTTTTGTTTTATTTGTTTTATATCACAGTGTCACATTATTCCCATGTTTTTATGAGCGACTAAATAATGACAAAATGAATTCACTAATGTCACTGGTACTCGTGTGTTGAAAATGACGAAAACGCAGAATTATCTTGGATGTACCTACTCATATAATAGTATTGAGGAAAAAGAAGTTAAAATAACTTTGAGTTGTTTTCTATACACACCATATCATTTCTGCAGAAGATCTTACATCTTGCTAATTGTAATCGCTTACTTACATTGTACTAGGTTAAGTTTTAAATGATAGGTGATGCTCGATATGCGTACATTTTCAATATTATTATAAACTCTGGACTATCATGGACTATCTTTCCTATTACACTGAGTCTAGTTCAAAAATATTGTAAACTGCCAGATGAATTACGTTATTAAATGTATTATATCAATGTGGTTGTACTCTTCATAAATAATGACGTCAGAACTGATGTAGAGTCCGTCATCGGTCCGTGAATATTGGCGTTCATTCGTTTACTTTTTCGAGATATAACTAAAAATATCAAAAAGCAAAGTACACAAATATACACTGACCGGCATCACACAATTACATGTATTTCCTTCATTATTCTTCACTATAGACAAAAACGGATATACTATAATATCGCCTGTGTGATTTCTCGTATAGCAAAACAAAGGACCAGAAAACCAAACGCGTATTGATTTAAGATTAAAACGATCTGGGAAAATTCAAATCGGATTAGAAGTACAAAAAATGACTTGTCAGTCCATTGTCATGTTTATATTTACATCTGCACTAAACCTTCTTATAAAAAAGTAAAAATGAAATGTTTTTCTGTCTTGTATCTTAAAGCATGTCAAATGTCTCTTACTTCATTGATGAATTTGTAATATGTATATCGTTTATAAATGAATTCTAAATATGGCTTGTTCGTAATGTATACCTATACATTACAATTTTAGATCTAACTTAAGAATAAGTCATTTGTGCGTTTTAACCTAGCAGTAATTGAAACAGTAATCAAGTGTTTAGGTTGTTCGAATTTGGTTATGAGAATGATACAGGAACATGTAAGGAAATTGGGCAAGTTTGACTCACCAAGCATTTAATAAAGGAAGATATATGTTTCTAAAGAATAAAAAGTCAAAAGCTGAAAAGTTAAAAAATTTACTTTCAAACACAATATGCCTTAGAGAAAAAAATATGTAGTGAAGAGTTTTCCTTTTTTTCTTATGTCTGTAAGCCCATATTTTGTAAAATGTAAAAGGTCTATTTCAATAAATATTTGTGATTTTCAGGGTCATAAACAATAATTGTTACAGGAATTATCTGAAGGAATTAAACGATCATTATTTTTTCTGGTAAAGTTTCCAAAGAAATGTGTTATCTGAGCTGGCCAGAATTTTCGACTTATTCAATATAAATAAAAGCATTTATTTACATTCAGGCTGCACACATTACCGTGATATTTCATATTTACTTTAAAATATGTTTCTACAACGCATTTAAACAGTCATGGATATTCCTTATGAGAATATGTGAACAAACACAAAATAATATATGCCTACTAGTGTTTTCGACCGTTTTTATCCTAAACATAAAATGCAACGGTGAAGTCCAACTTGACATTGGCAGATGATGCGTTAACCCCTCACTTTTCAACATGTTCAATGGTGTAAATATATATATAAAAATCAAACGAGAGGAAAATTTTGAGGTTTCCAAAGGCTACCCAGTTTAATGGAAGAAGAAATACAACTCAATTTGCCTAACATATTAATCATATCCTTTCGTCACTTGGTATATATATAGAGTATTTCGATTTAGGATTATATGGTTATATCGCTTGTGTTGTTTTTTTTTTTTTTTGTCTATTAGCAATGGAGTTTCTTTAGGAAATTCAGTAGAAGAAGGATCTGGAACCATAATGCTTGACCAGTTGAAGTGCACCGGAAGTGAAAGTAAACTGTACCGTTGTCCAAGTAACGCATGGAAAGAAAATGATTGTAGTCACAGTGAAGATGTCGGAGTTAATTGCAATAACTTAATTCCAGGTTTGAATAGTACTGTTTTAACACAAATCTTTATTGTGTGTTCTAAAAAATAATAAAATAGTATGCTATTCATTTGCTATGAGCATTATGTAATGCAGCATTATTTGTGTATGATATAAAACTCAATAGATATGCATAACATTAAAAGATTAAATTAAATGATATTCTGTGATGAAGTCCTCTGCGTAAATGGCAACGTTATACTTAGGTAAGAGCCTGCAAACGTGTTTTGAAAACGGCATGTTTCGTTCAATAACTTTATAGATTAAGAATAACTTTGATAGCATTAATACTTTGCATAAACATGTTTACAAAGCCAATGCCTGAACAACAATTATCAAAGAATAATTATAACCTGTGGCAATAAGACTCCTACATGTAATTAAAAGAGAACAATTTTAAGGACAATCAAAAACCAATTGTTAAGGAGGCTCGAGGCTATACACACTTTATATAAGAAATTCCTGAAAACTTGATATTTTATCCCTTAAAGTGAGTGGATAGAAATAATTAAATAAAATTGGGGGTCAGCGTTCATTTTAGCGTTTTATAGGCCACCGAAATAAGGAGTTTTTCTTTTGCTGTTTTAAAAAGGAATAATAGGAAAAATTGTTTGTTGACATACACAGATTTTAATAATGGATACAATTTTGTTGAAATTTGTTTTACAACAAGCACAAGTATAGTTTTACATGTACAGCTGACAAAAAAATATATAGGTCACCGTTGGTTTGAGAAAGATATTTCACAGTCTTTGTCCAATTATCTATTTTTGGCGGGAAAAAACTATTAGGGAAAATATCACCTGCATTACCTTCATTCTAAACAAATTAAGGGAACTAAATTACAGATTTCCATTAAACTTTCTATTCCAAGAGAATTATAAGTGAAGTTCATAAAAAGCAACAAAACAAATGGGGACCACTGATCTTTTAAGAGAGATAAATTACTAAAAGGGTGAAACCAAGGCAACAAAAAAAGTCTTTTTTTGATAAAATTCAACTTTTTCTCCCAGTTTTAGCCAAAACTATATGAAATGAAAATCTAATGTTGGTATACAATACCTCGTAGTGATATGTAGGCCCACGTGAAATTTTAGGTCATTTGAAGTGTTTTATATGAGATCATTTGATTAAGTAAATCAAAGTTTACAGATATATTTAAATACATTATATAAACCAAGAAGTGGAAGGTGGAACTAAATGATTATATAATTCAATTGTCAAAGTGACCATTGTTAAAATTGTCAAACTTGGATTATAGGGAACAATCTAGATAATTTTAAATACCAAATGTTTAGAAGGAAAAGTACCAAACTTTTATAGATTATGACCTACTGAGAAAAATGCTCCTTATTAGATCTAATGTCAATAGGAAATACAAATTAACAAGATGTACTAGTCTACTAGATGATTAGATAGATAAAAAAATAATTTCCCCTCTGTTCCTCCAAGTCTGATATGGGAAACCTCAAACATAAATTCCCTCCAAAAATAAAATAGTTGCATAATGGCATTTGGAATTATGATTCTCTGCAAATTTCATGACTTATGTTACACTTTCTAGGTTTTTGTGAAAAAATTAAATGTTTAGGTTAATATGTAGTCTGTGCCTGTACAAAGTCAGGAGACTGTAATTCAGTGGTTGTCATTTGTTGTTGTCATATTTTTAATTCTTATTTTTGTGTTTTGTACATAAATCAGGCTGTTAGTTTTCTTTTTTGAATTGCATTACATTTGTTATTTAGTTTTATAGCTTGCTACAAATGTATGCCGTATGAAGTTGGCTCATTGTTGAAGGCCAATGGATGACCTATAGCTGTTAACTTCTATTTACCATATGTGGATTCTTTAAAATTCTAAAGAACTTCTGGACAATTTTAAATCTCGGTCTATTTCTGAAATTAATTCTAACATAACTTTTGATTTTTTAACCATGTATACCAACATTCCCCATGTGAAATTATAAAATTGTTTTGAATAAACATTGAATGACAAACTTTTTTCTAATGTGACGTTTACATTTTCTGACGTCAGACACGCGAAGCAATGAATGTGGTTTTTAATTTGATAGATGCTTTTGTGCTTTTTTTGTAAATAATTGTTTGTTTTGATATTGTAACACAGTGATGACTGCTGTACCCATATTTTGACTATTTTATTTATAATGTCTGTTTTGTTCAGGCATCGTTGTAAATATAACGGAATTTAATAAGACTGTCGTACAAGTGAGAGGTTTAGCGCTATAAAACCAGGTTCAATCCACCATTTTCTACATTTGAAAATGCCTGTACCAAGTCAGGAATATGACAGTTGTTGTCCATTCGTTTGATGTGTTTTGTCATTTGATTTTGCCATGTGATTAGAGACTTTCCGATTGAATTTTCCTCGGAGTTCAGTATTTTTGTGATTTTACTTTTTTCTAGTTCTGTTGGTCTCTGGTGGAAAGTTTTCTCAGTGGCAATAATGCCGCGTCTCATTGGCAATCATATCACATCTTTTTATATATTTTTGAAATTTTAGACATAATTCTGACAAATACAACACACATCACAGCTTCTATGTTTGTTGTTTAATGAATTATTAGAGGAGCCATTTAAATCTAAGTTTGACATAGACAAATTCTTTTTTCATTTCATAGGAGTACACTTGTTTATGTATTAAAATAAATACATGAGATAGTTGAACATGATACAACAGCCATCTAATCTTTTTTCATATCTGTCAATTTATCCGTTTTATGCTTTTAAAATATCATAGTAATCAAATTGATGATGAGATGTGTGATACTATAAAATAATAATGTAGAGGTGATATATCACTTTAGGTTTCTGGGAAATGAACCTAAACGCAAGACTTAAGCAAATACACTAAAGCATATAGGTCATAGTGACTCAAGTAGTATGTTGTACTACTAGTATACAAGAAGTCTGTGGTGAATAAATATCATCAATATATTACCATACGTTTCTGAGAAATGGGACTAAATGCAAAACTTAACCGGATAGGGATACATACTTATGGACGGACAAGGGTATATCTATATAATCCATCCACATTTGTGGCGCATAATATAAACTAATCTTGGTATCTACTTTAAATATAAATAACAACATGCAGTGTAGGTGACAAAAGTATTCATTATGAGCACATTTAAGTTCCCATACATTACTTATCCAGATTACATAAATTCCAAAAGCAATTAACCAATCAAAAAGTGTTGAAAAGCATGGTTTGATTAGCAACAGGCCAACTTTACAGGCGTATTCCATTCATTTAACCTGATGACTTTTCACAGTCCGCCAGCTTTTTTTTATCATGTTCTGCAAATCATGTTATGCAAATACCTGTATTAAAATAATGTAAAAAATAAACACCCAAGGTTAGACTATTAAAATGGACATATTGTCTATAATAAAGATTGTATTGTCATGAAACTTTGTCAACTGTTTTATAATTCCCTAATCTTAGGTGATGCCAAGTTTAAAAAAAAAGTCTATTCAGTTTGAAAACACAATTAGTTCAAAGCAGAGGAGGATTTGGGGGGGAGGTACATGTATGGTTAATGCATAGCCTTTTTACATATCCCACTTCAAACGTTGCCTAGTCCGGGGGTCCTAGACCCCCCTTTTCCAAAATCCTGGATCCGCATCTGTTAAGTGCATTTCTTTTAGACAATAAATGGGGGGAAAAATCACACTTGCACTGTTTTAATAAGATTTTTATAGTGTAATTTACTATCTGTTCTATTATTTGTCTGTTTGTCTTTTTATTTTTGGCCATGACGTTGTCAGTTTGTTTTCGATCTATGAGTTTGACTGTCCCTCTGGTATCTTTCGTCCCTCTTTTACTACTTTTAGGAAAAATTATATAAAATTTATAGAATAGTCTACCAGCTCTAACACACAATATGGACAATATTATGGTAAGGGTCTGTAATTCAGTTTGACAGCTCCACACATAATTAAAGAAGATGGTTATCTTTCTTTAATGATGTGAATACAGAGAATTATAGTGTTATTTGCATTATACATGTACTTTAAAATTAAATATTAATCTATCAAAATAGAAAGTTATGGTGTGTACTATACTGTTTGCTAAATTAGTGATGCAAGGATCCTTATATTATGCAGATCCATTGTATGATGACATTCGAATGTAGAAATAGGGAAAGATCAAAAACTTTCCATTCCCATATGTTTATTTGTGGATTTATTAATATGTAATAAAAAAATTATAATAGTATCAAAATCAGTGAAATTACATGAATATCCTTTTACATTTTGCCATTGTTATAATAATTATAAGAACTATTATTCAATCCCAACTGATTAAGCATAGCCTGATTATAATTAATCTAAATTTTTAATTCTGTCCATGAAAAGTGTACTGTTCCAGCAAAACACATACTGGTATAACTTTATTAATTAAGGCATTTAACATAAGTTTTTGCATAGAGAACACAATTTTAATCCAATAATAAATTGTTTAAAATATATAGTTTAATATGCAACTTCACCTTATCAATAAATATTCAACACAGCTTGATATGTGCCAAGTTTTACATGAATAATCTACAGGGTCGGATTAAGAGTTTTTGAATAAGGGGGAATATTGGGTTACTCCCCAATAGTTGAATATATACAGCTGAGCAAAATTATTAGTTTTTGGGGATTGGAAATCAAAGTTTTTTCTGTGAACTAGTACATAACCAAATAATGTGTATAAAATGTTGAACATGTTTAAAGAGTTCATATTATTTACCAATTTCCTAAGTTGTATTAAAAAAAATCCTAGTGAGATTACCCAGTAGTAGCAGTACCAACAGGAATTAGTGGGAAAACGAATATGTGACAACAGGAATCGGAGCAAAACGACTCATATTCAAATAAACTAGACTAACAACAGAGTAAATTAAAATTCTGTTTGACAAAGAAACTCCTGCCCTTTTTCCCGATCATCAAATGGTCATTACTTATGGTGTCTGATGTAGACAACACACCTACAAGGCTGGACTGTAAGATCCGCATATACGTAAATGGTGATGTAGTCAACATACCTGGACCCTAAGGTCTGTAAATAATTTGTCAAAACATTTATCCCAAGTACACTGTACCATGAGCTACATGTATTTTACTGTACGTATTGCTGTGTGTTTTCTTATTCCATATTGGCTAGAGGTATAGGGGGAGGTTTAAGATCTCACAAAACATGTTTAACCCCGCCGCAAAATTTTGCGCCTGTCCCAAGTCAGGAACGTCTGGACTTTGTTAGTCTTGTATGTTTTTTTTAATTTTGCTTCATTTATATGTTTAGGAGTTAAGTGTGACATCAATTTTCGCTGAACTAGTATACATTATTGTTTAGGGGCTAACTGGATCCTGCCTCCGGGTGCGGAATTTTCTCTCTGTGTTGAAGACCCATTGGTGGGCTGTTTTCTGCTATTAGGTCGGGTTATTGTCTTGACACTTTCCCCGTTTCCATTCTCAATTTTATATAAATTATAATACACACTGATTTTTTTAGCTGAAAATGATTTCCGTTAATCTTACGCTTTCAAATAGTTTTATGGTCGTGATTCACTTTTGTGCTGGGATCATTTGTAGCAACGATGTTAAATATCCGGCGAATAATCTTCAATAAATGAAGGATCGCTAGAAACTTAAAAAAGAAATACTTACATTACAGATATATTACATACATTTTACACATATTTCCTGGTCCTTTTCTAGTGTAAAACAAGTGTGAACCTGCTTCATAAGCTACTAAAATGAAGATCGTGTTCTATTATTTTCGATCTGCGTTTCAGTATACATGGAAAGCAGCCCACGTGTTCAATTATTATGAATTATCTTGTATTTGTCTCCTCTCACCCGTAAGAACATGCCATTTCCCCCAAAAACGGAAGTGCATATGCAACAATCAAAATTTTTAAATTACAGTTTTCAATTACAACACTCTTTGGTAATATACTGAAGTAAAAAAATTATTTATTATAATCAAAATTAATTGTTATTGCCAATTACGACAACAGATATGACTTATGATATCATTGCGCGACATCCTGCGCAGTAGGCGCGAAAATTTAAACCCGCGAGCCCCTCATTTAAAATAAGAAAATTATGATAACAATATAATTTCTGATGTTAGATAATAACTTATCTAAAAATGAGTCCCAAAATACAATATGTAAGGCTTCATAATCAAGGGATCTTTTTAATGAAATCTGTACAGCAAATGACTACTTCCTGTTTATATCAGGTGACTTCCAAATGACCATTCCAAGTTCATATGTCTACTAAACTAATGCAAAAGGTCATATGGTTTTATAAATTCATTATTGACATTGGCCTCATTTTGTTTTCTTGGTGGACCAAGGAATTCAAATCAAATGACCCTAGGTTTCTATAACTTGTGGTTTTACCAGTTACAAATACATATCACTTTTGTCAAATAAATAAGGGAGAATAACCCTCATAAATGCAGTCTCCAGATCGCTTCTGTCAGAATTTTGTTTGATAACCTGAAGAAATGACGATTAATTTGGCCAAACAAAATTTTTGTTTTTTTTTGTGTTTTTTTTTTTTGCGGTTGCGAAGTAAAAGAGATAAGAAGTAAAACAGTAGGTCTTACAAATAAAAGTGTTTGGTTAAACGGTGTCAGTTTCAAAAGCGTACAATTAGTTCAATATCATATACCAAATATCTAAGCGACATCTTGCGAAACAAAATATCCTTGTAAGAAAAAAAAAATGGCAGAAGAAAGAAATAATAATTTTAAATCGATTTTAGACCAAACGTCTCTCTCTATCAGTTGAGGTTTACCAGTTACAAATACATTTCAATTATATCAAATACATTACGGGGACTAACTGGCATATGGGATCTCCAGACCACTTCGGACACATTGACATTGTTGATAACATTCTGAAAATGAATGATCCTGAAAATGTATGATCGATCACAATAAAAAGTAATTTATGAGAAACAGCAATCCTTTATTCAATGTGTATCAAGTGTTTGTCCCACGATATATTTCACACTTATTTGCAGTGAAAAGATTTTCTTGTTTAATACCTGTTTCTATGATTTTTTTAAGTTGATGGTGGATTGTCTACATGGGAACAATGGACGGCATGTAGCAGCAGCTGTAATGCTGGGCTTCAGACCAGAACACGTGCATGCACTAATCCATCGCCTAAAAATGGAGGGTCATGCTGTCATGGGGAATCATCACAGACAATACAATGCAATGCTATTTCTTGTCCAGGTACATACAGACGTTTTCAAAACAAACTCTCTTGAACAGTAACTAACTTACTGTGGATTTAATGTAAATAACGCATACCCGTTTTCGCGGATTTCTTGGATATAAGTCAATCCCGAATTTGAATATTCAATACACTACAAAAGTCTAAAAGTCTGAAAAGACCAGTTTTTGTCTTAATTTGCATGAACTTTTACACGACATTCTCCAAAAGTATGACTTGTGTCTTAATTTTTCCTGACAAATTCTCATTTATATTAAATTTGTATGAAATTTACTCGACATGTTCTCGACATTCTGAATATGGTCTTAAAATTTCTTGACATTTGAATACTGTCTTGAAATTTCTCGACATATTCTCGACGTTCTTATTTTTTCTCAGTATGGCTTGACATATTCTGAACATTTTGAATCGTGTCTTAAATTTACTTGACAGTTCTGAGTTTTACAAATCATGACCAATATGCATGATATAACTTTAATCTTTATTTCTCTATATATGATATACTGTTGTTTCAAGTTACACTTCTTAACAACAAAAATAAAAGTTGGGCATGTAAAATAATTGAAAATTTGGGTATATAAATATTTTTACAAATGCAAATATGGCTATGAAATCTAAAGTATAAAATAATTCAAATGTGGGTGTGTTGATATAAAACAATTTCAATGTGGGTTTTTAAATAATTACAAATTTGGATTCCTAAAACTTATAAATAAATTAAATGATTCAAACCAATCATACTGTAGACATATTTCATTCTACATTCATAATATTCAATGTTGATATGGTAAATAATTATTATACCAAAATGTGGTTTATATAAATAGCAAATTATGATGATATACAAATCATTCATTTAACAGAAGAAAAATTTGTGTAATGTCATCTGTTGGAATATATATGAAGTATTACACATGGACAGGATGTTCCCCATAAAATTAAGGTATTCCACACCCCAGAGTACACGCAACTGTCAAATAGGAGTTATTGCTTTACGTGTAATCAGCCATACAACTTATCAGTTGACCGACCATGCCACTACAATTTAAAAAGTTTGTTGATAGATGAAAATGAAAATCATCATTTCGATGAAAACAAATTGAATTGAAATGGACTTTCTTCATCAAAATTATGAAGTTAATTATTTTAACATAAAAACAAATTGAATAATTCCCAAAGATTAAAAGAAAATTATTATCTACTCCAGGAATAATAAAAAAAAATGTATTCATAATGGGTCCCATCAATGATTTCTATAGAAATCATCGGTCTTATGAAATGGTTCTCAAACAGACATGCATAATATAGATCTAAACATTTTTTTCTTTTCAGGAAGGAGTTATCACAAATATTTATATTTGATAAAAATTATAAAATTCAACACTCAAATTTGAATAAAAAATGTTTTTGGGTTGTTCTAAAAAATGAATAAGGTTTTTGAATCAAGATGGGAACAAATTCTTTGACCTAAACGAAAGCCTCCCCCCCACCCTCTTTTTTTAGCCACACAAACCCAAAAGATGAATTGTGGGGTCCAAAAGAGATACAAGACACCTATTTTAGTAAAGCAAATTTGACTGGCAGTTTTGCGAACGGCAAAAATCTAAATGCTGTTTGTCAATACCTTCGACTTATATTCAAAGTGAAAACAATTACTTAAATGTTTAATAAAATAAATCAAAATTAAACTACATGGGGGATTATTCAGGGTATTCCAACTTAGTTGCACCAAAAGGGTATCTTACTATAGCAAATTAATCCTTGCTTCTTCAAAGTTTAGTTTAGCCATAATAAAAAGGAGTATATATAACAGCAATAGAATGTCATAAACAGTGCAGAATAAGTCTGTTCACATTTCAGGCGAAATTTATACTGTTGAGATAGTGTCAAGACATATTTAAGACTGTCAAGAATGTGTCGAGACATATTCAGACATTATTTTGAATGTCAAGAATATGTCGAGACATATTCAGACATTATTAAGAATGTCAAGAATATGTCAAGACAGATCGAGACAAATTTAAGACAGTCAAGAATTGGTCGAGACTAATCCAGACTCTTATCAGATGATACAGGAAGTGTCGAGAAATTTTAAGACAATGTTCATACTGTCAAGACACTTGTCAAGAAAAATCAAGAACCTTATTAGACAAATTCATACTATGTCAAGAATTTTTAAAAATTATTCAGACAAATTAAGAATGTCGAGTAAAAATTAATGCAAATTCAGACAAAAACTGGTCTTTTCAGACTTTTTGACTTTTGTAGTGATAATGTGCATCATTTATATAGGTTTGTACGATGACTTGACTTCCTACATTTCATACTTATAATATCAGTTAAGTTATTGAACTATATCATGAATTCTATAGTCTGGGGAAAAACCAGGGTGCATCTAGTTACTTTAAAGTTGATATATTTGAATCAGATGCTAGAAATACTATTTGCGTGTTCTTTGTGTGAGAATTCTTACAATTATATCTTTGTTGTTAACATGTAATACTTTAGCATCGGACAATTTTGTGATAAATCCTTTGGTAGTGCAGTACAAGCACATTGACTTAAATTATCGCAATTTTTCAATAACAGCTCTAGAAAAGTTTAACTTGTGAAATCAAGAAAAGAAAGGCGAAAGATACCAAAGGTACATTCAAACTCATAAGTCGAAAATAAACTGACAACGTCATGGCTAAAACGAACAACAGACAAATAATAGTACACAATACACAACATAGAAAACTAAGGACTGAGCAACACGAACCCAAACAAAACTTAGGGGTGATCTCAGGTGCTCCGGAAGGGTAAGCATATCCTGCTACACATGTGACACCCGTCGTGTTGCTCATGTTAGTAATACGTATAATTCAATAGATTACATTCAGGGAAAAGGGGACGGGATTGTAGCTACGACATTTAAAGCATATCCTCTGTCATCTGTGAAACGGATATTTCATAACAGTCAACTAACTCGTGATGGCGCCCGTAAAATTTACGAAGAGATGATTTCAACTTCACCACTTGGAACTCTTGGTTTAATAGCTTCCTTATGAGCATCAACCCTCTATTGCCGAAAGCATATTAGGAAATACAAGCCCTGGAATATCGTATCAACTGGGAGATATATACTCTGTATGCAGGCGCTTTTTTTGACGAACATTAAAAAGAAATACTGTGGGTTCGTTATTATTCGTGGATTACCATTTTTGTGGATTTTATGGGTTAACGTGATCGACGCATTTAACATGTTTAAAATTTTCAACGAATTATAAATTTTATATAAGCAAAACCACGAAATCAGATATTAAAAAATATATACAAATTTCCCTAAATCCACAAAAATTGGTACCCACGAAAATAAATGAAGTCAGAGTAAGGGAAAGTGAAAGAGAATTAAACAAGAACTTAAAACTTAAAAGGAATGTATTTGTTTCACGTGCAAAGTTAACCACCGAATAAACTCTGCAAGTGAAATCTTTCCAAACCTTATACCCGAAACAGTAAAAGAGAGGCGAAAGATACCAAAGGGACATTCAAACTCATAAGTTGAAAATAAACTGACAGCGCCATGACTAAAAAAGAAACAGAAAATAAAAATCTCTGGGCATTGTGTTATGTGGTTTATTGATTTGCTCACGTATGTTGCTTCAAAGGAGGATCACGACCATCACATAAAGGGAATTTTATCATCAACTTGATAAGCATGTTGCACACTTAACAAAAGTAGTAAACTTTCAAAGCCGTCACCAAAATTACTGAACTAAAGTATTGACCCGTCAGGTTGCAAGGTATCTTTAGACAAAGTGAAAGCTATTGTCGATACGGAAAAGCCAGCTGACATATCAGCAATACGACAATTTTTGGGAATGATGAACCAACTAAACAAGTGTTCACAGCAAGGGGAAATAGCCTATTAAAGCCGCTCGGTGAGCTTCTAGAGATTCACAAGGCTTGCAATTTGTCTAGGGTTCTATATCGTGGAAAATATGTTATCAAAAGTCAGAAACAATTATCCCACGGTCGTTACAAGACAAAATGTTAGAAATATTCCATGATGGAAACGAGAAAATAATTGATGACGAGTCAAATCTTCGTTGAAGTGGCTTGGTCTGAGTTCAACAATAGAAAACATGGTCAAAAGACGTAAAAATGTATCAACAATGTTTAATTTCATGCATTGCCACAGATGTAACCATGACGAAAACAAGCTCCCGACTTGTTTGAATTCGGAATGCAGACGTATTAGTGAATGATTATTTTAAGTGATACATCGAGTTAACAAAATTGACTAGCACAATTTTTTTTCCATCGTTCACCATTTGAAGTTTATTTTTGCGAGTCATGAAATACTAGATACATTTAATTTGGACTTCAATATAATTCTTTCCTATTCAAGCAATTTGCTCAGTCGTATTGTTTTAGACACGTGATGAATAGTCCACCATTACCCAGTATAATGAACTAGCGGAAGGCATAGTAGTAGTCCAAACTGTTATAGACAAACTTAAAAAGGCAAACTATGAATACAATGCTTTGCTTTCGTACTGAACTACTCCGCTTGCTCACGTTTAGAGTCCAGCATACTCTTTGGTAGGGTACAAACTAAAAACATTGTCACAATGCTCCGTAAATCATCGCAGTTTAATATCCTAAAAACAATAGGCGAAAGATACCAAAGTGACATTCAAACTCATAACTTGAAACTAAACTGACAACGTCATGGCAAACAAAAGATCAAAAGACAAATTAGTATATAAAACACAACACATAGACAACAAAAGACTGAGCCATAAGAAGCCACAAAAGTTATGGACGATCTCAGTTGTTCTGAAAGGGTAAGCAGACACTGCTTTACATTATGTACTTGTCGTGTTGCTCGGGTAACTACGAACTCAGTGATAAGTCTAATTCGGTAGGTAATCTTTCGGGGAAAGGAGGACTGGGTTGTGGTTACGACGATTGGAAAATATCCGTCGTCATCTGTTAAACAAATACTCCATAACGGTCAATCAGCTCGTAACGACGTCCGTTAAAGTTTCTTTTCGTAGGAATAATTTCAACTTCACCACTTGGTTCTCTTAGTGTAATACCTTCCATGTGAGCAGCAACAGTATAGTAGGGAAATTATGAACGGAAACGCTAGCCCTGGGATACCTTATTATCTTGGAGATATGAACTCGATATGCATCTATATACTGACGTTTGCGAGGTTTTGAAAAACGGAGATAATTAAAAATTTAAACAAAAACAGACAAAACAGTGCGCGACTATATTCAGATTGAAAAAATATGATCGAGTTTGAGTCATAGATCAGATGAAACAGGGAAAACTTAAAGTGGAATCAAGTGTATTGCTTTCGTATAGCATACACATTGACAGTTAGCATATTCGTATTCATATTTCAACACTTTTCAATTTGCCTCATAGGCCTGAAACTGATATCACGATTTTGTTTAAACAATCCATGATCACATACTGTTTTCAAATAATGAATTCAGAGATAACGTCACAGGTCAATCTGATGAATCTGATTTTTGTTTTAACTAAGTTAAGGAGAATCTCAAAACAACTATGTAGGTTATATCTGTACACATTGGTCAACTGCTAGATGCATATTATCATATATATTATATATAGCAGTAATATAACTTTGCCTCACTAATGTAACATATATGTATAGTGTAAATTAATTCAAACATCATTTTAAATCTCCTTAAAAGCTATCAAGCATGATATAATAAATACTTTACAAAACGTTGACTCATACATTGATGTAAATGTTTTCTGTTGTCAACACCACCCAGTTGATGGTGGCTGGGGTGCATGGACGCTGTGGAACTCTTGCAATGTTACATGTGGTGAAGGAATGCGATTGAGATTTCGTAGTTGCGATTATCCTATTCCAGCATTTGGTGGCCTAAACTGCAACTCAGAGGACTCCGAAATGCAACAATGTTATACTACGGAATGTCTAAGGGGTATTACTCTTTATGAATTTAAAGCAAAGTGGTTTTGATTGGAAATTGTTCTTGTTAAGTTCATTTATTAGGAATTCATTTTTTTTTTCTTTTTATTCCTTTTTAGTCGCTTGCAACATGTTTAACAAACTAAAAAGACAAGCAATTTTGATTTGTTTACAATTACCTTCGTGCGTTATGATGCATTCATGATTATGAAACATTTTATGATAAACTTTTGCTTCATGTTGTGTCTAAAAATAACCATTTAAAACCTTGTTTCGATTCCTGATGAACTATATCATTGCGACAAAATAATGATTAAAATTCAGAAAATAAATTAAAGATTAACAGAACTAAACAGTAGATCTGATAAACTGACAAACGGATTTACATTTTTTTAAAGCCGAAAACCATTGTAATGACTTCATTCAGTGGGTAACGTACCATCTCAATAACTAATTGTCATATAGCTTTTTTACGATTTTCCTCTAGTCAAAAATTATTTATGAGATAGAAGAAGCTGTGGTATGAGTGTCAATGAGACAACTCTCCATCCAAGAAAAAAATTATAAAAGTTAACCATTGTAGGTCAAAGTACAAACTTGTTTGTGTATAATTTAACTTAGTAAATTGAAGAAGAAAAAAGTCAATAATCGATGTTATTTTAGATAGATTACCATTTCTTTCTAACGAATGACTCTGTGAAAATTTATTTACAGCAATTCATGGCGGGTGGTCATCATGGACCAATTGGACGGATTGCAGCAAGCCTTGTAATGGCGGATTAAAGGAAAAATCACGTTATTGCGACAGTCCGGCTCCATCAAATGGTGGTTTATATTGCAATGGAACTGTTAAAGACGTAGCACTATGTAATACATTCTCATGTGCAGGTAAATATAAATCATTGACAGTATGAGGGTTACAAAGCATTACTTTCAAAAATTGCATTTGATTTCAATCTCATTATGCCGTTTATTATTATGATCTCTATTTTGGGCTTACTCTAAATGTATATCTTTAATTTAAATTCAACATTATGACTTGATTGTGTATCAATTAATTTTAAAGAAGATAGTGCGGTAAATATTTCCTTAGAACCATTTTAGTAAATGTTCACTAAGAAATGCTATTTTCTTCAAACGGGAAATTCGATCATAATATCATCTGAACATTCTGAACAATACATTATTCAGCATGTTCAGTCTTTCGGCAATTTTTAGACTAATCCAGAGCAGTATATTCAGTACGGTGCAGGCAGTATGCTGGCAGTTAATCCAGTACTGTTCGTTAGTTTTTTAGGCAAATGATTACACTGTTGTTACATATATGTACATGTTAACTGTTGTGATAGTTATTCAAATCTTCTTTTTTATAATAATGAAACTCAATATAAATTATATACATTCAATATGTGTTGGCTCATATTAGGTATAGAGACACGCATGGCGTTAGCTACCATTGTTGCTGGAGTATCTGTTGGCAGCATTCTAATATCCATAGCCTTTGTGTTGATATGCCGACGTGCTTTTGCAGAAACGTGGACATTAAAAAAAGGTACATTTGTATGTTATAGCTCGATTCAGTACTTTTATTACTACTTTATTGACATTCAGTATATCTTATCTGTATACGTAGTATACGAAAAGTCTATGATTCAAGGATTTGCAAGTCATGTGTAGTTTCATATTACTACTTTTATCTGTTTTCAGCTGCTAGACATCTTTTATTGAATTATTCCCTGAAATTTATAGTTTGCGTCAATATGTGAATGAACATACACCATGCTAAACAACCATTAATTGCTTGAAAGGTATTCAAGTTAGTGTATGATGATAATTGTAAATACATATTCTCCTATTTCGTTGTTTTATAAGTTGTAAAAGAATATGTATATGCTTACAGTGTACTCGATGTGAGATGAAGTCAAAACATCAAATTGTAGGTTTCAAAATACGACAAACTTAACATGCGAGAAACTATTATTTTAAATACTTATTTAAATTTTCTTTAAACTTTTATAATGAAAGAATCTTTTATAGCTTACCATGCGGTATGGGTTTTGCTTGCTGCTAAAGGCGACACGATGACACAGAGTTGCTGACTTCTACGTCAGTTGGTCTCTGGTGGAGAGTAGTCTAATTGGCTATCATAACAAATCTGCTTAATTTATGTTATCGGTAATTTCGTCATCCAACAAACAACATATAAAAAAGAAGATGTGGTAGGATTGCCAATGAGACAACTCTTCACAAAAGACAAAATGACACAGAAATTAACAACTATAGGTCACCATACGGCCTTCAACAATGAGCAAAGCCCATACATGCATGTATTTGTAAGTTGCATTAACGTCGTTATCAAGTGCACACAGGAGTCTCTATAATCAGACTAAAAACGCAATAGCAATTATTTCGAATTATTGAGTGTCATAACATAACATTGCAAATGTACAAACAGAACAAGGGACAATGTTCGTTATGATCATGACTTTGCGAAATACGCATTTTGTTAGACAAAGTGGTATACTAAGCCAGCTTTAAAATTTAAACCTGGTATCTTTGATTTTTTTTTTCATTACGACAAGCTTCCTTCAATTTGCACTGCTCTTTGTAATTTAAACGTTAATGTATTTTGCAAATACCGGTTCAGCATAATATTTACATATTATATCATTTTCAGTGCGCACGAAACACACTACAGCAGGTAAGCTCTTTTCATATACAACATTATGCACGGTTTGTTTGTGAATTAAACGTTGGTTTATTCTGCAAACATCTGGTTTAGCAAAATATCTACAAATTATATCATACGTATGAAACATCCTTCAAATGGCACACTTGTGAACAATACACAAATTGTGAATACCCTCTCCTGGATGGTTAGCTCCTTATTATCTAGAGTACAATGAATCATATCAATAGAACAGAATATATATTTTGTAGCTTTATCATTAAATCAACTGCTGGTGAACTATCAGTTCACGAGGGTATCATCAGCTCAGTAGTCAGTAATTCGGTACTGATATGACTTGTAACAAACCTTTCTAAGATTGTCCGTTGATAATTTTTTGAATTATAAAGAAACTAAGGTTTCAACTTCCTCAGGCAAGGTTAACCTTAGATGGATTTGGCTATTTTTTTAGGTATTTTTTTGGCATATAGCTCTTCAACTGTTTCGGTTCTTATACATCCTCTGCTTTCCAAGAGAGGCGAAAGATATCAGAGGGACATTCAAACTCATAAGTCGAAAATAAACTGACAACGCCATGGCTAAAAAAAGAAAAAGACCGACAGACAAACAGTAGTACACAAAACAAAAAAAAAAAAAAATAAAGACTGAGCAACACGATCCCCACCAAAAACTTGGGGGATCTCAGATGCTCCGGAAGGGTAAGCTGATCCTGCTCAACATGTGGCACCCGTCGTGTTGCTCTTGTTAGTACAACCCCGGTAATAAGTCAATTTTGGTAGGTCATATTCGGGAAAAAGGGGGGACGGGGTTTTAGTTACGACATTAGGAACATATCTACTATCATCTGTGAAACGGATATTCCATAACGGTCAATCAACTCGTGATGGCGTCCGTAAAACTTACGAAGTGATGATTTCATCTCTACAACTTGGAACTCTTGGTTTAATAGCTTCATTGTGAGCAACAACCCTTTATTAAGGAAATCATAATAGGAGATACAATATTTGGCTTTGAGCGTTCCTGTTGAAGGTAATCCAAGAAAGGGCTTCGGACGCATGAAATTATTTAACGTGTTGTTTTCATTTTTGTGTATCACTTTTAAAATCATATGTTTCTTTATAAATTAGTTGTGTTTTATCAGAATTTTAATGCCATTATTTTGACATGCGGTCTTTATCAGTTGCAGATACACCTTTCACAGAGGACGCGTAAGTCATGTCTTATTATTATATATAGAACTTATTTTAATTCAGAATTCACCTTCGCAGAAGAGTTTAAACACAGTGTGCATTGTAAGATAATTGGAAAAAAGTGTTAGCAGATTTCTTGCTACACTTGACTAGCTCTAAATACAGGCCGTATCTTTAAAATCATGATTAGATTGATTTTTCAATTCTTTAGTTTGATAACATGTCTTAAATCCTTGTGGCAAATAGCCAGGTTGTCATTAAAACACCAACACATGTATAGATAGAAATGAAGTAGTAGTTGAAATGTTTTTTTGGCAGATGACTTCTAGGTTCATAAACTACCATCAGACCGAAAATGTCTAGACTCGTTATTTATTAACATACTTGCTATTTATTAAATTGGTTTAACAAAACAAGATGCAAATAATTTCCTTTTAATCATAAAACCATTAGATTCTAGACTTGTTGAAAGACTGTTTTCAATCTATGATCATGCTTTCTTTTCAAGGGACGAAGTTTACATATATCAAGAATCGGATCAATCATCACAAGCATTCAATAATGCTGCTTATAAGAAAAACAAAAAATCAAAGGATGCTGAAAAAGATGTTGATGATTCTGATCAATGTGATATTTATGATATTTGTGAAGAAAACTGTTATGAAAACTTCTGAAACTGAAAATTATGAATACATTTTTTTTTTTCATGTAAAAGCATGACTTCAATTCAGATTTGTGTTCAGCATAGGCAGGTACAAAATGCATTTTACGTTGTAGCTATATCAAAATTTTAAAAGGTTGGGATCATTTAATTTGTGTCTGTTTTTTTTAAGTTTGAGTTTTTTTCATGTACTGGCAACAAAATGCAGTAGGAAAATTCAATTGTTATTTTTGTTCGTTTGCATGTATAAAAGGTTACTCTCAATAAATTAACTAAATTCACATTCACCAAATTAAATTAAATTTCGAAATTATGTAAGACAAATCAAAACAATTTTAATTTGTATTTGTTTCATTTCATGTTAGTAGTTCAAGAGTAACTATTAATCTCTGATAATGCAAAACATATGTTATATTGCTTTCTCTTACTATTAGTACCTTTTTTTTGTTTCAACAATATATAAAAATGTGAAGATATGGTATGATTGCTAATGAGAGATCTTTCCACCAGAGACCAAATGACATAAAAGTTAACAACTAAAGGTCAATATAGTTTATTTTTGTTCCACTAAATATAAAAAAGAAGATGTGGTATGATTGCCTATGAGACAACTCTCTACAAGAGACCAAATGACACAGAAATTAACAAATATAGGTCACCGTGCGGCCTTCAACAAAGAGTAAAGCCCACACCGCACAGTCAGCTATAAAAGGCCCCGAAATGACAATGTAAAACAATTCAAACGAGAAAACTAACTGCCTAATTTATGTACAAAAAATTAGCGAAAAACAAATATGTAACACATAAACAAACGACAACCACTGAATTACAGGCTCCTGACTTAGGACAGGCACATACATACAGAATGATGCGGGGTTAAACATGTTAGCGAGATCCCAATCCTCCCCCTAACCTGGGACAGTGGTGTAACAGTACAACATAAGAACGAACTTTAAAAGTCAATTGAAAGAGGCTTAACTCATCAGATGGATCAAAATACAAATACATTGTACTACAAATACAAGTGAACGTGGCCGGGTACTTGTACATCAAAAACAAAACACACTAAGTACAGATCTGAGAGTACTCGCAGTTACTGACAGCTAGTTCAAAGACACTCACAACTAATAGAAAAAAATCATGCATCTAAGACTAAATTATCAATCCGTACACATCCAACATCCAATGGATTTAGTGTAAAGACGTCATACACAGTCAGAGAAAAACATGACCTTGTGCAATGCCAATATACAGGTATCGACAGATTGTAGATCCATGAATGTGTATATGTATATAACAATAATATTTAGTTTGCTTTTAATTTACTGATAACAAAATCAATATCAGTACCAATAAAAACAAAGTTTAATGATCTAATTACAGTGTTGAATTGGTAACCTTTTAGGAGAAGTTTATATAAAGGATCGATAAGTTTACCAGGATCGTTTCTAAATTTCCGGGCACGGTAAACAATATTGCCGTAAAAATGAGGATGTGCAATCCCGTTTAAAATAAGTTTTCTACCGGTACAACTAAACTTCAAAACCAAATCTTTATATCTGTGGAAGAATTTAGTAAAGGTTTTAAGTAATTTGTGGTAACGAAATCTATGGCTTAATAATTTACCAGTAATACATAGATTACGTTCGTTAAAATCAAAAACGTCACAACAGACACGGGCGAGTTGTGAAATATAAACACCGTAAGATAATGCCAAAGGAACATCACCATCCAAAAAGGGAAAATTAACAATAGGGAACGAAAAATCGTCCCTTTTGTCGTAAATTTTAGTGTGGAGTTTCCCGTGAAAAACCGAAATATGTAAATCTAGGAAAGGACAGTTGTTGCCGTTAAAATAATTGTTAAAGTACATTTTGATATTCATATATATTTTTTGGCATTTTTCTGAATGGCAGAGGTATACCATAGTCACTAGCTGGCCTCTTGAATTGTAAAATATTTAATCCTTTAATTCTGTTTTTATGTGATGATAAAGGAAAAAGATGATATACGTTACGCTAGTGTTTTAAATGTTATTGTGTTATGTTATAATATATCAGAATTTTGAATCGACTTTAATGCACCTCTTGCAAATTTTGAAATTTAAAATTTTCATCAGTGTTTCTCGCATTGAATCAAAAGAGTCTAATAGTATTTATAATTGTATTATGTTTTAGAAACTGAAGTCCTATAAAACTTGCTTATAGTATCCATTGCAACCGTCATTATATATCAAATTTATGAAAATTCAGACGTCCTTTGGGATTATTATCTTGTAAATATACACACTCAAAGATTAACATTACCTTGTACCCAAACTTCCAACCACAGTACTCTAAAAATGACTTCCATTATCTAAGTAGGGTTAACAAAAGGTCAACATGATGCCAGAAAAATCTGTTTGTCCCTTAACAATGTTTGGTTACGTTAATTGATATCATCTTGAAATATTCTGGCAAAATGTAACAGTTATGAAATATACAAGCCACATTATACAGTTTACAGTGTAGACATATAAATCTTCTGTCATGTTCTTTTGTTGGCAGAAAAAAATGATTTGGAATAGATTTTCAGTTGCCTTTTACCAGGTCAGACTTTTATGTGGAATAAGAAAAAACATAAAATGAAAAGACATAGAATATAAATTTATATTCAGTTATTCCTTTAATAGTGATATTTGCAATTGGTCACACGAAAATAATTAACACAATGAAACGTCATCGGTTCCTTTGTTTCTTTCGGTTTTTTTTTTCTTGGTTGCGTGCTTTGGTGTTGTATTTTAATTTTGTTCTTGCTTTTATCTACTTAATATCATGTGTGGTTGAGTCAATGTACGTTATAAGCGTATACCTTGGTATGAATGCAGATACTGTTTTCTTTTTATATACAAGTACAACTTAATTTACGCGCTACAATGTTAAAATATTTCACACTAATCTATGCATGACAAGAACTGCTGAAATAAAATATTTTCATGATTTGATTTGTTGCCGTTTAATATTCATACTGCGCATATCATGACAATGGGGAGATATGGTACGATAAGCAATGAGACAACACACCAATCGAGTAGTAATGACGCGGATTTTAGCAAAAATAGAACAACGTAAAGCCTTCGACAATGATCAAAACCCATACCCAATGTTTGCTACATTGTATTATGCGTATGTAATGCATTGAAAAGGATCATCAGTATGAAAAAGAAAGAAACAGACAAACAAACAACAAAACAGAAACATTTAATAAACCAATTCAAGTTTTGTTTTCATAAACAAGTAATAACGCTAGAGGACGAGGTTAATTCCGGCTGAACGGTATGAAGTATAGGTCAAACATATTGTAAGTTACAAATGTTTGCTACATTGTATTATGCGTATGTAATGCATTGAAAAGGATCATCAGTATGAAAAAGAAAGAAACAGACAAACAAACAACAAAACAGAAACATTTAATAAACCAATTCAAGTTTTGTTTTCATAAACAAGTAATAACGCTAGAGGACGAGGTTAATTCCGGCTGAACGGTATGAAGTATAGGTCAAACATATTGTAAGTTACAAAGTCATAATCGGCATTTTTTGAAGATCTTTGCATGCATATACAGACACAAGGAAGTCGAATAAAAAAGTTATGCTCCATACCAAACGTTTTAAAGCCGTAATATGGACAACAAAAATATTCTAAGCACTAAATTAGCCCCTTAATAAACAGTTCTTTTCAAAATCTCATAACACGCAGGGACGTTAAGGGCGTTTCAAGATCATTCCCATGTTCATACACACCACAATGCATATTGAACTCAAAGTTAGATTTCTCTGCCTAAAGGCCAAACTGCACACCAAAGGCGTAAACAGGTGTAAAAAGGTCTATCCTGGATTCCAAATTTTTATTTATAGAAAAATATAAATACACTGTGTCACGTGACTTCAAACTGAAAGTAAGGACATTTCCCAAAAAAGTTAAAAGGGCAGGTGCAAAACGACATCGGATCGCCCTGGTTTTTGGCTACTTGTATTCAGGGTAACTTATTTTACATGAAAAGTGCTGAACCTAGCTTTTTAATAGGGGTTTTGTAAATAAAAAACGATACAATCTGCAGAATTGTATCGGTTTATCGATTTTTTGGCATTTCAGGTTGTGAAATCTCTTTTATACAAACGCTGTATAACTAGGCACAGCACGTTTTGAAAAATTTGAAATGTGGCCTTTCTACCAGTACCAAAATAAAGTTGGTTAGTATAGCTCTTGCACCTGCCCTTTTCAATTTAATTAACCATGTAGTAGTATAATCGCCTTGAGATGTGGGAGAAAAACGTTTGAGAGACCCTGCAGTAGTCGGATCGGCTGACAGAAAAACTAAGTGTTTTTTCTGTACACACCGTGAGGCGTTTCATGATCTTTCATATATTTAACGACATGCTGGAGCAAATAAACAAATATGCTCTTAATGATTGTCATGCTTGCTCAATTTTATGAAGGATCCAATTCAGAACTGTTTTTTTTTTTCAAAGAATTTTAATTGTGACAGGCTGGATTTTTATACAATAAAATATTTACATCTTCCTCCATTAATTTGCATTCCACCTCTGGTGTATTATCGCAAATGACAGAGGCGGATCAAGTGTGCTCGGGCCCGCTTGTAGAGCAACCATTTTATGGTTAATGCATACACTTTTTACATGTCACACTCCAAACGTCGCTAAGTGTTGGGGGCACCAGCCCCCTTTTTTTCAAAGTCCGGAATTCGGATCTGGGGCCCTAGTGTAGTTCTAATTTTGCAAATGGAAGTTCATTAAACAAATTAATAGCATACTTGGTCTCTCCTAGTGTATGTTTATTGTGAACCATTAATATTTAAAAAAAAAACATGCATTGTCACAAAGAACGCACCAGAATTCATGATTTCAATTGTTTTTTTGTTTTTTTTTGTGCTTCGTCATTGTTAATGTGTAAATAAATTATAAATACAAACTTCCTACCTGCATATAAATATTCAAATTTTACGTGTCTCGAGTGAGAACTGATATCAATTTGTAAATCATGATTGGGAGGTCTTTTTGACATGTTTGAATTTTTTGTGGTGGGGGACAGGGTGATTTTTTTACTCTGAATGTTCTTTTTCACCAGTTGCCGAGCCAGTATTTTGTACGGCTTGCTTTTTTTTTTATTTTGTCTCTAATGAATTCCTGCATTTTGTTGGACAGAAGATTCCTTTTCATCCCATCTGGAGCAGCGATATTTTTCTTATTTTATCACTCTTACTTGGTAAAATTATTCTGCCCTCCTTACTAAATTGTTTGGAATATTCAAAAGCACACAACAACATTAACATGGGGATGCAATTTCTTTTTTCCTAGAATGAGTAACTTTTTATATTTGCGACTTTTTTGGGGTAAGGATCAGCAGCTGAGACATCGAGTAACCTTCCTTAAACAATGTACCTTTAGCGCTTATGCTTTATGCTTACACTATATCATGGAGGGATAAACAGATTTGACAAATATCGGATGCATTTACGACTAATTTTTAATTGCATCTGTGAAAAAAAACCGTCATATATATCATCTTTATTTCTCCAACCTTACAGTATACCTTGAAGCTGGAAATACATTCGTAGTGACCTATATTTTTAGCCGCTCATTACATAGTTCCTCCCTACCCGCGTCCACCAATAAAAATGGACAGCCAAGATTTACCAAAAGTGCTAACGAGACATTCAACACAATCAATCAATTGTTTTTACGTTATAAAGTGCCGTATAATTTTAAGGTTCATCGTTAACCATGTTCAAATCAGAAAACATATTTCTCAACACCTGCTGAGATTGGAGGCAGCTATAGATTATTAAAATTTCTTTTCTGTCAGAATAAAAGAAATTCTAATTTCCGGTATTTCAAGTGAATAAATGATGACATAGGGGAACAGGGCAAAATAGTCAGTATGGAAATGAAAATATATAAATGCTAAGAAAACTACATACTAGTACTGCCTCCTAATATCATTGACAAGGGATTAATCAGTGGTTAATCTTATCCTGACCCAATCACAAAACGTAATATGAC